TAATAATAATAATAATAATAATAATAATAATAATAATAATAATAATAATAAAGGAAATATTCTAAATGCTCTGATGGTCATTTGGAAAAATCCTTTCTTTGTGAGCACTTAGAAGCCAAGAGGAACCTACATGCCAATTTTCAAGTTTGTAGGTTTTACGGTTCTGAAGATTTTGTGATGGTGTGTGAGGGGTATTTCGCTTATATAGAGATAGCGGTCATGCCCCTGGAGGACCCAGGCCCATCCCCTCTCCATCCTAGGGCACGGAGGGAGAAGAGGATAAGGGAGAGACGTGGTCTCCTTGGGAGGAGAGGGCCTTGATCCTCTTCATGGGCTGCAGCTGTGACAACTGACTAAGAATTTGGACCTGCGCATTGGCAAATGCTGGAAACTAATCGTGTAAATATCTCTAGTTTATGGTTCCTCTCTTGAGTTTGGCGTCCTTCCCAGTGTGTGTTATCTGTGGACATCCTCCAGCCCTTACCTTGCCTGGTTTGTGTTGCTTTTTTCCTTCTTTGTGTAACTGTGTGGGAGTTCTTCAAAGATATTTGGAACTTGGAAGGAATATAGGGGCTTCACCTGTTTCCTATGACTGTGTTTGTTTTGTATCCCGCCCTGGGTCATCACAAGAGCTTTCTATTCCTATCTATTCCTTTCTATTCTAATTATTCCTATTCCATTCCATTTCTAATTCTATTCCTCTCCGCCCCGGCTACGTTCATTCGGACTCTCTGGCCACTCGCTTTTTCTTTCCCGGATCTGCAGGTCCCAGCAAGACGGATCTGGCCCGAAAGAAACGAGAAGAGAGGCGCCAGGAAATAGAAGCCCGACGAGCCGAGAAAAAAGCCGCCAAGGGACCTATGAAGTTGGGGGTCAGGAAATTGGACTGACACTCTGCCCCACGCCATGTTATTTTTCCCTTCCTCCTCCTCCTCCTCCTCCTTCTTTCCACGTTAGGACAGCTCGATGCCTTCCAAGAGACTGCAAGGAGGCGGCGAAGCGTCTCGCAACTCTGGCTCCCCGACCCAGTTTTGAAAGCGGGGGGGGGGGCTCCCTCCCTCCGGTCTCGCTCTGTCGTGGCGACTGCCACCCGCGGGGACCAGGTCTACCTGCGTCCCACCTTCCTTGGCAACCTGGGGGCCGATTTCTCTGGTTTCAAGATAGTTAAACATGGACTTCCGGAAGCCTTGAGGGGGCGGGGGGGAAGCCTTGGGCGGGGTGAGGAGGGGGTTTGGATTCCACAGTCTCTTTTGTCTGTGTGCAAAGAAAGCGAGACTTTTGCACAGAGGTGAAGTACCAGGCGGTCGTGTGCGCGCGAGTGCATGTGGCTGTGCCTGCGCGTGTGCAGGTGATAATCCATGCCTGTTTCATCAGCTGACAGGGAAGCAGAGAAATAAATTATGAATGAAAAGCTGCAAAGATTCCCACAATCCCCGGCCCATATCTCTTTCTCTCTCTCTTTTTCTCTCTTTTTCACTGTCTTTTTGTCTCACTCTGTCTCTCTTTGTGTATGTATCTGTCTCTGCCTCTTTCTGTCTGTCTCTCTTTTTCACTGTGTCTCTTTTTGTCTCAACTCTCTGTGTCTGTCTCTGCCTCTCTCACTTTTTCTGTCTGTCTCTGTCTTTTTCTCTATTTTTCACTCTGTCTCTGTCTCTCTGTCTCGCTGTGTATCTGTGTCTCTGCCTCTCATTGTCTCTTTTTGTCTTTTTCTCTATTTTTCACTGTTTGTCTCTGTCTCACGCACTCTCTCTATCTGCGTCTCTGCCTCTCGCTGTCTGTCTCTATCTGTGTCTTTTTCTCTCTTTTTCCCTGTCTCTCTTTCTTTCTCTCTCTCTCTGTATGTCTCCCTCTCTCTCTCTCTCTCTCCCCGCCGTCTCGGTTTCTGCAAACCGTGCAAACCAAACACCTGCCTTTGCTTGACATGGCAAACTTGGCTTAATCCTTGGGGTGGCTGTGCCGGCAAAGTTGCAGCTGCCTCGGTGTGACAGTTTGCAAATCTGGAAAACGGGTTCATTCCAAGAAGGAAAAAGTGACGCCTTTTCCCTCCCTGCCTGCTTTTGCGGGCCTAAAATCTTGCCCATTTGACTGGTTTTCGGCAGCCAAGGTGGTGGTGGAGGCAAATTTTGTTTTTCTCCCTCAGGGCTACTGAGAATTATGGCTGGGGGTGAGGGGTGGGTCGGGGGGCTCAGCCACGAGAATCTGAATCCCTCTCACGTTTTTTTTTTCCTTTTAGTAAAATAGCTTGCAAACGACTCTTTAAGGAGATGGTTCGGCGCAATTATTTTACTGCTTTTACACCCTTAATTCAAAGGTCTGGGCTGAAAGTTTGGCAAAATTCAGGCTAGGAAAAAAAAGCACCCTCGACCTTCTGTTTACTTCTCAAGTTACTCCGGAATTATTTCAAGAAAACGGCCCTTCAGGCAGCTCGTGTGATTTGGTTTTCTTTTTAATGTGCGTTCACCCAGAGGTTAACCGCCTCCTGTTTAGGATATGGCTGGCAATAGCTTAGCTTTTTTTTTTGCTTTTTTTTTTTTAAAGTAAACATTAAAAAGGTCTTTAAAAAGTGTCCTGACCCCTTGGCTATTTGTGCAACAAGCGGGACAGGGGGGAATTGGTGTCGGCAGCGGGATCCACAAAGCGGCAGCGGCAGCTCTTGTGTTCTCCAAGGTTCAAAGGTCAGTGGAGGGAGGAGCGCAGGGGGGACACAGATGCACGGTCCCACCGTAGGATTTAAGTGCAGCACAGGGGTGTGGCTTTCCCGCAGCCGACCCAGAGTCCGGCCTCTGACCGTCCTTCCTCTTCCTCGCCTCCCTTCCTTGGACGACAACAAGCAGGTACGTCGAAACGAGCCGGATGGTCTGTTGCAAACCGGCACCGGCGTGCTCATTTCACATGCGGTCCGGCTGGGCGCTGGTAGCCCCGGGCCTCCTCCTGTCATGTGGTGCTGGTGCTCCTTGGGCTGGACGGAAGACTCGAATCTGAGACCTGTTGTGTGCGTTGGGGGAAGGGGGGGGGGAAGGAGCAAGATCTTAAAGAGGGAACCGACCTGGGTTGTATTGATTTAAGAGAAGAAATCCCGACAGGAACGTAACGAGGAGTCGGAAGGGACCTTGGAGGTCTTCTAGTCTAACCCCCTGCACAAGCAGGAGACCCTAGACCAGGGGCCGCCAACCTTTTGGACCTCAGGGGCCACCAAACTCATAATTTTAAATCCCGCGGGCCACCAATATGAATTTTGGCTGGTGGTGGCTTGCTGACGTTGGTGGGGAAGTCGGTCCCATATTCCAGAGCTGGAGTAGTCGCAGGACTGGCCCCTTTGGTCACCCCGGAGCAGCTGCTCCTCCACCCAGGTGCACCGGCCTACCATGGACTGGAGGAGCAGCTGCTCCAGGAGGACCAAAGGGGCCAGTCCTGTGTGACTCCTGCACCTCTGGAATATGGGACCGACTTTCCCACCAATGTCAGCAAACCACCCCAGGACGGATTTCCCTCCCCTGCCGTTGGTCTTACCTTCCAATTCCAGTTCGCGTGGCTCCACACAAGGTAAGGTTTGTGTTGGGCCAAAGGGTGGGGGCCAGTAGCTATGTGGACGGCGCAGCCTGGATTAATTGCTTTTGAGGGGGGGGGGACTTTTCTCTGCGGACCACCAAAATTTTCTCACGGACCACCAGTGGTCCCCATCCCACGGCTTGGCAAACCACGGTCCTAGACCAGGGAGTGTCACACTGGATTTCTTTGAGCGTCGGATCAGCCTTGTAGCTCTCCGCGGCCCAGCCAGGGTGGGGGTGGAAGGAGACGGGAAAGACGACTCCTGCAGCACTTTTGCCGGCCAAAATGGGGCACGGGGGCGTGTATGTGCCCCCCTCCGCCCCCGTGCCCTGTATTGGATGACAAGAGTGTTGCAGGAGGCCGTCCAGGCTGAAAAAGGGGGCACGAGGGGGGCTGCACACCCACCCACACCCCGGCCGCGCTCCGTTTTCGTTAACAGAAGCACTGCGGGCCGGTCCTTCGGTCATTTCAGGAGGCCAGCCCCGTGGGTCCAATTTAAGCCCCTCCACAGGCCACTTCTTGAGTTTGATACTCCTGCCCTAGACCATTCCAGACAAGCGAGTGTCCAATCTTTTAAAAAGCCTCCACTGATGCAGCCCTGCACAACTTCTGGAGAGAAGCCATTGCGCTAGTTAATCGTTCCAACCGTCAGGAAATTTCTCCTTCGTTCCAGGTTGCTTCTCTCCTCGATAAGTTTCCATCCGTTGTTTCTTGTCCTGCCTTCGGGTGCTTTGGGGAACAGGATGAGCCCCCTACTCTGTGGGGCAGCCCCCCAAGTGGTGGAAGACAGTTATTATGCCTCCCTAGTCCTTCCCTTTATTAGACATTCCCAATTCCGGCAACCGCTCATCGTATACCCTGAAAATAGGACCTACCCTGAAAGTAAGCCCTAGCTTGATTTTTTTTGTGAGCCCAAAATAAGCCCTAATTAAGATCCCGCACCCTCCAGAGTGGGCAGGTAAAAATTAAGCTAGGGTGGGATGGGGGTGGCTGAAGGTGCCCTACTACTTTGGACAGTTGTAGCCAGGCCTCGCACACCCCTGACACCTGCCTCGCTGGCCGATTCCTTCTGCAGCCGGTAAGGCTGGCAAGGCTTTCCTGAAGGCCTCTGGAGCTGGTAACAAAGCTCTGGATCGATCCTATCAGCTTGCAGAGGCCTTCAGGAAAGCCTTGCCGGCTGCAGACGAAGAATTTCCCGAAGACCTCCAACAGCGAAAAGGAGGCCGGGGCAACGCGCGCAAGTGACGGTGGATGAATATCCCCTCAAAAATAAGACCTGGTGCCATTTTGGGTGGCAACAAAAATATAAGACAAGGTCTTATTTTCAGGGGAACAAGGTAATTTAGTCCCCAATCCTGAAATCATCTTTGTTGCTCTTCTCTGCCCTCTTTCTAGATTCTCGACATCTTTTTTTTTTAATATTGTGATGACCAAAACTGAATGCAGTATTCCAAGCGTGGTCTTACTAAGGCTTTGTAAAGTGGTAGCAGCGCTTCATGTGATCTTGATTCTGTCCCTCTGTTAATGCAATTTAGGATTGCATTGGGGTTTTTTGGGGGGGAAGCTCCTCTCAACCACTGCAAACGCACTTGGGGCACGTCAAGAAAAAAAACCCCAGTTCCGCACTCGCGTTTTCCATTGTTGCCGTCCCTTACCTCTCCCAGTGACGAAACGCCAGAGAAGAAAGACTGTGGAGACACCGAGGAGTTGTCAGAGGTCGAGCTGGCTGACTTGAGTCTTACTGTGTGACGAGAAAATAGAGAAGGCCATTAGCACGAGACTAGATCTGCAGGGGGCATTTCCTTCCAAAAGAGGCCCTTGAGGAATAGAATAGCACATAGAAGAGACTAGACCGGAATAACAATAGGAATAGAACAATGTAGAATAAAATAAAATAGATATTGGAAGGAATGGAATAGAATAATGTAGAACAGAATCGCCAACCAGTGCGAGAAAATTTTGGTGGGCCGCAGAGAAATCTCACCCCCAGAGCACCCCCCCTCCAAAGCAGTTAATCCAAGCTGCATGGGAACACAAGGCTGCGCAGCCCACATGGCCCCATGGGAATCCTCCCCGCCCACTCACTCCTTACCGAGCAAACTTGCCTGCTAAATTTCTATTTTTCCTTTTTTCCCCCTGACCATCAGCTGTTCTGCTGTGCCAGGAGATTTAGATGAGCTAGAAAGCAGGAAATGGTTGGATTTCTTGCTTTCTAGCTAATCTATAGATCTTCAGTTATGCTTTTAAGCACAGCCGAACCTCCCTTAGGACTGAGGGTTCTGTTATTCAGTGCAGACTCACAGCAAGCAAATTTCATGTGACAGACTCAGGTAGCCGATGGCAGATAGATAGATCAATGAATGATGCTGTGAGCAACTCAATCTGCCTGCTTTACCTGATTTTGGGTAAAAGTTGCTCTTTTTTTTTTTAAAAAATTAACATTTACATGGTGTGCTGTGAGTTAATTTTGTGAGTTTGCTTGCTAGCAAATTTTATGGGTTTGCTTGTAAACAAATTTTATGTGACAGGCTGAGGTAGCTGATGGCAGAAACACAGATCTCTAAGTGAATCCGTGATTCTGTGAGCAACTCAATCTGCCTGCCTGCTTTGCCTGATTTTGGGTGAAAGTTGCTCTTTTTTTAATAAAAAATTCAGTATTTATATAAATATTTATATTTACATACAAGCCATGCCCAGCTAGTCACATGACCACCAAGCCACACCCACAAATTAGGCCACGCCCACAGAACTAGTTAGTGGTCCATGGTATTTAAAATTATGAGTTCCCTGAGGTCGAAAAGGTTGGCGACACCTGATGTAGGGATAGAATAATATAGAATAACAGAATAGAATGGAATAGAATAATGTAGAATAATATGGAATAGAATGCTATAGAAATATGGTTGAATAGAACAGAATAGAATAGAGTTGGAAGGGGCCTTGGAGGTCTTCTAGTCCAGCCCCCTGCTCAAGCAGAAGAACCTGTAATATTTCAGATAAGTGACTGTCTAAACTCTTCCTCAAAACCTCCAGTGATGGAGCTCCCACGATTTCTGGAGACAAGCTGTCCGACTGGTTAATTGTCCTCACTTTTACAAAGTTTCTCCTTATTTCCAGGCTGAATCTCTCCTTGTTCAGTTTTCATCCATTATTCCTTGTCTGGCCTTCAAGTGCTTTGGAAAATAGTTTGACCCCCTTCCTCCTCCTCTGGGGCAGCCCCTCAAATATTGGGAGGCTGCTATCATGTCTCCCCTTTCTTCACTAAATAGCCAGGCCCAGTTCCTGCAACCGTTCTTCGTATGTTTTAGTCTCCAGGCCTTTGATCATCTTAGATAGATCCAGATTAACAGTTGGAAGAGACCTTGTAGGTCATCTAGTCTAACCCCCCCACCCAAGCACGACACCATGGTCCTTCTCTTCCCTAGACTAGCCAGGCCCAGTTCCTGCAACTGTTCTTCATACGTTTTAGTCTCCAGGCCTTTGATCGTCTTAGTTGCTCTTCTCTGAAATTTTTCCAAAGTTTCAACATCTTTTTTTTTGTAATGTGGTGACCAAAATTGGTTGCCGTATTCCACCTGTGGCCTTAACTAAGGCTTTGTAACATTGTAGACTAATACTTCACCTGATTTTGAGTCTATGCCTCTGTTTATACAACAGTGGGCTTCAATTCCCAGAATCCCCTAGCGAGCACGGCTGCTACCGAGAATTCTGGGATTTGAAGTCCGTGCAGCCGGAAAGCTGAGTGGGAAGACCACACCTGTAACTATAGTTAGTCCTTGACTTACAATGTGGTGGTTTTGAAGTTACAAGGGCATTGAAAACTTCAAAGTGACTTAGGACGTTTTTTCAGACTTCAACATCCTTAGGGTCACATGAACAAAATTTGCACGCTTGGCAACTGGCTCATATTTATGACGGTTGCAGTGTCCAGGGTGCAACCACCTTCTGACAAGCAAGCCAGATTCACTTAAGAACCGTATTTATTACTAAGTTATCCCCTGCAAAGTGGTTCATTTAACCGCTGTGGCAAGACAAGTTGCAAAACGGGGCGTAAAACTCACTTAGCCACAATTGTGGGGCTCAATTGTGCTCGTAAGTTGAGGACTGCCCCGTGCTGCCCACCCACCCCCACTTGCTCTAGGAGCCCTTAAAAGGCCCCTCCCCCCCACATCCCAAGGGCCCCTTGTGATCCTTACGGGAGGAAACAGACCCCAAAGGGGTTATCCCGTTGTGGCCCTCAGGTGACGGCCGTCGCATCTCGGAGAGGCTGCTGCAGCGCATTCGGACGTCAGCCTCCTTCTTCTTCTCTTCCTGCGCCTGGAAAAAGGGGTTAAGGAGGAGGGTGGAGAATAGACAACAGGCTTGGAATTGTTTACAGAAGCAGTTTAAGAAAGGCCCGGTCCTTGCATGCAGAATAAAGCATAATTTAAAGATCAATCAATCACAATAGAGCTGGAAGGTACCCTGGAAGGTCATCTAGTCCAGGGGTCGCCAACCTTTTGGACCTCAGGAGCCACCAAACTCATAATTTTAAATCCTGTGGACCACAAATTTTGACTGACGGTGGCTTGCTGACATTGGTGGGAGAGAGAGAGAGAGAGAGAGAGAGAGAGAGAGAGAGATGATCTAACCTCTCTCCCTCCCTCTCTCTCTCTCTCTCACACACACACACACACAAACACACAGAGGCAGGGGTGGGATTCAAATTTCTTAACAACCGGTTCTGTGGGCGTGGCCTAATTTGTGGGTGTGGCTTGGTGGTCATGCGACTGGCTGGGCATGGTTTGTATGTAAATATTATAAATATTTATGTCAATATTGATTTTTTTTTTATAAAAGAAAAGCAACTTTTACCCCAAATCAGGCAAAGCGGGCAGGCAGGTTGAGTTGCTCACAGAATCACTTAAGAGATCTGTGTTTCTGCCATCGGCTATCTGAGTCTGTCACATAAAATTTGTTAGCAAGCCATTCCAGTCCAGGGTTTATACCAAAAACGTCAATCAGTCCCACAAACAATCTTTCCTTGCTTTTTCCTTTATTCTGGTTCTGCTTTCACTTTCTAAAATTCTTACTTTGTTTCAATATTTCTGTAATGTTATATCCACACCAGTTCATTCAAAAACAGGATGCTTTCCCTTTTATTTGAGCCAAATTTTTATCAAAAGGTGACACTCTCCATTATACAAAGTCTTCACCTTTTTCCGCTTAAAGAACCTTAAAAAACTGAAAGAAGAAAGAAGGAAAGTAGAAGTGGTTTCTTTTTGTGGACTTTTAACGATCATAAAATATAAGAATGATGATATCTCTTTGGGAATTAAAAATGGAACTTAAAAATATGAGAGAATTACTACAGGAAAGAGGCGAATCACTTTGCTCTGTGCTAGAAAAAATGGAAATGGCAATTGAAGAAGAAGAAAGAGGAGAAGGAATCGGCTTGAGAAGACATTTTAAATAGACAATTAACACAAAGAACGCTACAAAAAGGTGGGGAAAGAGGGAAGGTTAAAAAGTTGAGATTTAAGAAGGCAATTAAAAGGGGGAATACCTGTGAAGTCAGGAAAGGCAGAAAGACCCAGCAGAAAAGGGGAAAGGAAGATATTAAGAAAGAGAGGGATATAAACTGGAATGAGAAAAGATATGGGGAAAAGAGGGGGAGGAGAAGCAGTAAGAAACATGTACATGAAATAAAGAAATACGGAAATAGTAAAATGTTGAAAAGAAATTTTTTTTTCATAGATAATGGTTGATGAATTAAAAAAGGGATTCTGCAGGGTGACAAGGTGTAATAAGAATATTTCTGCAATTAAAAATATTTAGAAAATAGGGTAATATAGATACTGATAACTCTTATTAAAGGGAGGGAAATATGCTGTGGAATCCAATTGAAAAGATGTAATGATTAATGGTTTATTAGGAATTAAGATGAGGGAATAAAGGTATATTCTAATCATTAAGGTGTCACACTCAAAATAGTAAAAGGGGGGAAACCTATACTTGTTCTTTTTTCTTTTTGTGTGTGTGTGTTAAAACTTGTATTAATCTAGAATTCATAAAAAAAAAAGTGTAATGGAAAGGGAATATGACAGACTAAAGAACCAGCTAAATTAATACGTTTAATATAGATTATTAAAAGCAAGGAGAGACATTGGTAACTTTATTATTACTACTATTAGGCAAATATATATTGTTTATTTTTATTTTTAAAATAAATATTAAAGGATTATATTTGAAATAATTGAAATGAAATAAAAAGATGTTTAGATTGAGATTAATGAAAGAACTTAGAATTATTTATTATTATTATTATTGTTAGGCAAACACATATTGTTTATCTTTATATTTAAAAATAAATACTAAAGGATTATATTTGAAATAATTGAAATGAAACAAAAAGATGTTTCGATTGAGATTAATGAAAGAGGCTAGAATTAATGTGTTTGTTTCTCTCCTTACTGAAAATTTGGAATGGAAAAAGTAATAATAGAATTAAGTATGCATATATCAATGTATAATTGCTGTCATATTTGTATGTAAAGGTGATGACCCGGAAATATGTTGTCCACTAAAAAGAGATTTTTGATTTTAATGTGAAAAACTGAATAAAGTTTGTTTAAAAAAAAAATTGTTAGTAAGCCAACTCACAAAATTAATTCACAACACAACATGCATGTAAATATTGAATTGTTTATTTTTTTAAAAAAGCAACTTTTATCCAAAATCAGGCAAAGCAGGCAGGCAGATTGAGTTGCTCGCAGAATCACAGATTCACTTAGAAATCTGTGTTTCTGCCATCGGCTACCCGAGTCTGCAACTGAATAATAGAAGCAAAGGCTAGCCAAATTGTGCTTACTCACCAAGTGTAGGTCCTGTAGTTGGTGCTGCTTTTCGCTCGGCCCGACATGGACCAGGTGGTTGAAGTTGCTTGGGGAAGAGATGAGCTTGGCACGGAGGCTGGGGTTGCGCATCATCTCTCTGCAAAGGGACAGGGGACGGCAGCGCCTAGCACACGGGCACCCTGCTCAGAGGGGCCAGCCAGCTGGCAGCAGCCCAGGGCCACTCGACTACCTGAAACTTCCTGGAGGGGCTCACGCAACGGCCTTAAATTGCAAATTTCTCCAATTTTTTTCCTACCGGCTCTATGAGAGCACACTTCGCACATGCAGCACTCAAAAAACCACCCTCTGTGTCAGTGCTAGCGGGGTGAGCTGCTTTTTTTAGCTCCGCTGAGGTACGGTAATCTGCTCTGTCGAGTGCTGAGCTATAAAACAAGGGACTATAGGATAGGAGAGGGCAGGAGCAGTCAAAGTGTTCTGACCAAGGTTTCCTGAGACCGTAATTAAGCACACGCTTAGCCCAAACAACTCTCGTTTTATCTCAATGCTGGGAATGATTTGAATTCCCAACCTATAATGAGCCTCAAACAGTCCCTCGAGATAAGCACCCACCTTTCTCTCCTTTGAATGGAGTGCCAAATGAATTATAAAAAAAACAACTGAAGTACAAAGTCCACACAGAGCTTCAAGGGTTAATCCAAACAGAGCAAACGACTTTGCTTCCTGCAAAGGTTTCTCTACCTTTGCACCTCCTTTATACCTTAGGGGAGGGGCAATCACCTCCCAGCCTTACTCCCGAGTTTCAGCTGCTCTCGCCTTCTGGCAGCTCTGTGCATATGTGCACTGGGAACAGGCTCCCCTTGTTCCTCTGCCTCGCTGCTGCCAGACTCCAGAGGCAGCCCCCCACTCCCAGGTGGTCCTGGCCCCATCTTTGCATCAGATGCAGGACCCTCGTCCGAGCCCTCTCCAGACTCCCTGACTGGTCCCCTTTCTTCCCCACTGTCTGATTTCGCTGCCGTCTGCACAGGCTGCCAGTGAACCAGAACACAAAGGTGGTATTTGCCGGTTCTCCAAACTACTCAAAATTCCCACTACCCGTACGCCAGAACTGGCCTGAACCGGCTGAAGACCATCTCTGGTCTTCCAGCACAACGTACAGCAGCGCTCGGGACTAGAATTTCCATTGGTAAGGAACAGAGAATTATTTCTTCATTTAGCACACCGCAATACAGATGGTCCTCGACGGAGAACCACAACTATGTCCACCATTTCTGCTGCTAAGATGAGACACAGCTAAGTGAATTTTTGCCCCATTATACGACCTTCCCTGTCCCAGTTGTTCAGCGAATCACCTCCGCTGCTTAATTAGTCACATGGTTGTTAAGTGGGTCAGGCTTCCCTGTTGACTTAGTTTGTCAGAAGGTCGCAAAAGGACACAGCGACCACCATAAACATAATGTCAACTCAAAAATATTTCTCTGGTCTTTTAGAGTTGCCAGCAGAAAGGGAGTGGGGGAAGAAGTGCATTTGTTGTGGTCCGCCGGCAGCAGGTGCGGACGGCTGAGGTCTCGGAGAGCGAGGACTCGGATGAGGGGCCTGCGTGTGGTGCAGGGATGGGGGCCAGGACCATCAGGGAGTGGAGATTATGGAGGCTGGCAGCAGTGATGAAGAGCACCCCGAGGAGCCTGTGCCCAGTGCCTGTGTGCACGCAGGGCTGCTCGAAGGAAAGAGCAGCTGCAGCAGCACAGGCGACTCGGGAGTAAGGCTGCAAGGTAATGGCCCCTCCCTCAAGAGATAAAAGCCAGCTGAGAAAGCGGAGTTCTTTACAGGAAGCAAAGACGTTTTTGCACTCAAGCCTTGTGGACGTTTGGAATATCTTGGTTGGTGTTTGGAGACTCTTTGTGTTTGAAATCTTTCTTGGCAACTTAACCTAGTGTTCTTGGCAGCCTTGCACCACCTTTCTTATCAGAAATAATTAATTTGAAACAGCCTTTTAACCAGGAAGGAATGGAATTCGTAAGGAATCATTAAAGAGTTTTGCTGTTATATCTGTTTTGTGTTTGTTTTCTTGGAACAAGGTTTGGGTCAGAACAGCACTCCTTAAATGTTTTCATAGATATATTTCTAGGTGGCCGAAGCTTCTGGCGCACAAGATTATTACTGGAGAGCATGATTGATGACTCTTGGCTATGGAGGTGTCCCATTGGAGAATATACATCCAGGGGGTCGGGGGCGAAGACCAGGGTCAAGGGGGAATGATGTGTCTCAGAGTCGGCTACACCCAGGTAGCACTGGCATGTTCACTCCGAATAAATCATTTTTTTTCAACTCTGAGAGATGCGGCTAGAGGCTCATGATTCAAATGGGGGTGGATTGTCGGAGTGGGTCAGTTGCCAACGGCCTGATCACGTGACCCTGGGGATGCTGCCAGGTGGAAAAAGTGTGGGGAAATGGTCATTAAGTCCCTTTTTTCCCAGTGCCGTTGTAATTTGGAGCAGTCACTAAATAAAACAGTTGTAAGTCGGGGACTCTCTAGGGCACATGGCTAACGGTCATAAAAAAATCACCTCGTGATGAGATGGGTGGCGAACAAATTTAACACAGAAGATTAAAAATATCCAGCGGTTTGGATTTGCATAATATGCCAAGCCACATTGAAATGAACCAGGATTACAATCAAACCAAACTTGGCCTGCAATGCGAATTTTTCACCGGCTGAGATAAATGAAAATGGCACCGGATGTTGCAACAGCCTGTGTAGCTTCTGAACAGCAGCCATCACAAAATCCCCCTCTCTGACTAGCCTCACCTCCTCTGGTGTTGCCGCTCCTCCTCGGTGATCCGGAAAGAGAAGCACCGCTTGTGCCTAGTCCTCATGAGGTACCGCCGGCTGTTATCCGTGGTCTGGGGAATTTCGAATTCATCCTGGTCTGGAGGAAGGAAGGAAAGTCAGGCTCCTCACAGCAAATTTGTTAGTGGTTAGTGAATGGTTTAGTTAACAGATTAACAGACCTGGAAGGGACCTTGTAGGCCATCTAGTCCAACCCCACACCCAAGCAGGAGACCCCACACCATTTCTGACAGATAACAGATTAATAGACCTGGAAGGGACCTTGTAGGCCATCTAGTCCAACCCCCCACCCAAGCAGGAGACCCTACACCATTTCTGACAGAGGGCAGTCCAGTCTCTTCTTGAAAGCCTCCAGGGATGAAGCTCCCACAACCTCTGAAGGCAACTTCTGTTCCAGGGGTGGATTGTTCTCCCTGTCAGGAAATTCTTCCTTATTTCCAGGTTGAATCTCTCCTTGTTCAGGTTCCATCCACTGTTCCTTGTCTGGCCTTCGGTGGCTTTGGAGAACAGCTTGACCCCCTTCCTCCTCTCTGGGGCAGCCCTTCAAATATTGGAAGATGCTCTCCTGTCTCCCCTGGTCCTTCTCTTCCCTAGACTAGCCAGGCCCAGTTCCTGCAACCGTTCATCGTATGTTTTAATCTCCAGGCCTTTGATCATCTTAGATAGATCCAGATTAACAGTTGGAAGAGACCTTGTAGGTCATCTAGTCTAACCCCCACCACCCAAGCACGACACCATGGTCCTTCTCTTCCCTGGACTAACCAGGCCCAGTTCCTGCAACCGGTCATCGTATGTTTTAGCCTCCAGTCCCCTCATCATCCTGGTTGCTCTTCTCTGCACTCTTTCCGGAGTCTCAACGTCTTTTTTATAGTGTGGTGACCAAAACTGGATGCAGGATTCCAGGCGTGGCCTTACTCAGGCTTTACACAGAGTGGGATTAGTACCTCTTGGCTAGTTGGTTATTGTGTGATGCAGCACAATCTGAGAACTTGTGCTTTATTGCAGTGTTAATGCACATTTTGCAGGTATAACTACGGATAGTCCTTGCCTTACGACAATTGAACCCCAAAATTTCTGTTACTAAGTGAGACATTGGTTAAATGAGTTTTGTCCCCTTTTACGACCTTTCTTGCCACAGTTATTAAGTGAATTAGTAGTCACTTGGTTTTTAAGTGAATCTGGTTTCCCCATTGTCTTTGATTGTCAGAAGGTTGCAAAAGGACATCACTTAGCAACGGTCACAAGTATGAACCAGTGGCCAAGCATCTGAATTTGGATCCCATGATCATGGGAATGCTGGTCATAAGTGTGAAAAATGGTCATAATCACATTTTTCAGCGCCATTATAACTTCGATCAATCACCGAATGAACTGCTGTTAAGTCGAGGACTATCTGTAAATATATATTTCTGGATTTATTTTAACATAAGCCGCCCGGCGAAATGGATGGCAAGCAAATTTCATTAAATCAATAAATCTGCAGACCCACAAAACAACGGCCTTCAGACCTGGGTCAAATTTGTCATGCGAATGCAACTCCCGTTCCCTCTGCAAAATTCCTGGCTCCCTTCTTTTACCTGCTTGGCGCCCCCCCGCCCCTCCTTACCTGCACCTTTGTTCCTGAGGTAGGTGAGCCGGACTTTTTCGCTGCCGAAGGTGCACAACGAGCCTTCGGGATTCAGCGCCCGCACCTGAGCGGAGGAGAAAGGGATGTCAACGGATGTCCTTCACCAATGGATGGGCTTCAAAAAAATTTTTTAGCAAGCGGTTCTCTGCCGGGTGGGCGTGGCCTAGTCATCCTCCTGCACCGGGGGGGGGGATTTTCACCCTCCCCAGGGTCAGGAGGCTTTCCTCGAGTCTCCAGGAGGGCGAAAATGGCCTCCCTGGGCCCCAGAGGCTCTGTGGAGGCCGAAAACGAGCCCATTTCCGGCCTTTCGGAACTTCTGGTTCAGCCTGTTTTTCAACCCCCTTGAGCCTCCACGCAGGCCCTGCCCTTACCTAGGATCCATAATGGGCCGTGTGGAGATCTTGGGAGGGGAGGGGCGGGTGGGGCCAGCCAGTCGTTGCAACTCCTGGTTCAGCGAGCCAGGTGTAAAAAGGAACATCCAGTTCAGCCGAACCGGTGCAAACCGGTATAGCAGCCCACCCCTGCCCTCCTCGCCTCTCCATAATCCGCCCCCCCAGTGGGCCAACCTTTCTTCTGCTACAGCTTCAACATCAAGGATGAACACAGGACTACACACCCACAAAAACGCACCACACACATGGACACACATCGCCTCACCACACACACACACACACACACACACACGGAGGAGAACCATCCTTTCCTATTGCAAGAAAGCCAACTTTCTCTACACCAGAGGTCTCATTCTCGCGGCCCGCGGGCCAATTGCAGCCCGCAGTCCGATATCCTGTGGCCCCCACCGTGATATGAAAGTATAATATTAGTGCGTTCTCCATGCGTCGCTAGCTAAAGACTTCTGCGTGCGGCCCAGCCTCACCCAGCCTCTGCCTGCAGCGGCCCACAGGTAAATTGTGTTTGAGACCCCTGCTCTACGCCAACCCAGGAGTCAAAGAGGAAACATTTGGGGATGTATTGTTTGCCAGCCCATCCTTTGAGACACCCTACCTGTTCCCAGATGCACACAAAGTCACCTGGCCTGAGAACAGGGGTGTCAAACTCGATTTCATTGAGGGCCGTATCAGGGTTGTGTTTGAGGGTAGGCATAGATAGCCAGCTTGACATCACTCGTGTCGGGGGCACCGGTGGTAGTAGCCCAGGGCTAAGACAGGACTTATCTTCCTTCCTCCATTCCTCCCTCCCTCCCATTCATCCATCTTTTTCTCTATTCTACCCATTTATTTCCTTCCTCCCTTCCTTCCTTCCTTCCTTCCTTCCTTCTCTTCTTTTTCCTCCCCTCTTTGTTCTCCTTTCTTCTTCCTTCCCCTTTCCTTCTTTTTCCTTCCTTGCTCTCTTCCCATCTTCCCATCCTTTTCCTTTTCTCCTTCCCTGTTCCTTCTTGCACGCTCAAATGCAAAAGTTGTTTTATTTTTAGTTGGTTTTGCTAGCGCCTCTGGCTTCAAAAATGGGGGTGGGGCATTGCGGGCCAGTCCTTTGCTGTTTCCAGACCGGTCCCGTGGGCCAGATCTAAGTACCCCACAGGTGTGCTCAGATGCGGCCCTCGGGCCTTGAATTTGACACTCTCACCTGAGAAGAAGCAGGACTGGGTATGAACACACGTTGCACCCTGCTGGCGCCCTCTTCATTTCCCTTCCTCAAGTTACAACCATTCATTTACTGAGCATTGGAAGATACCATAGCATTGAAAAGGGGGACTTGGGACCATTTCTCACAGTTATGACCGTTGCAGCATCTCCATGGTTACACAATAAAAATCCAGACGCTCGGCAACCGACTCGTATTTATGACGTCTGCAGTGTCCTGGGGGAGTTACGCGATCCCCTTTTGCGACCTTCTGACCAGCAAAGCCCAATTCACTGAACGACCTTGTTTCTACCTTAACAACTGCAGTGATTACAACTAGCAAGAACAGTTGTAAAATGGGGCCAAATTCACTTATCCACATAAAGTTGTCAGAAGGCCGTAAAAGGGGGATCGCGTGATGCCAGGATGCGGCGACCGACATAAATATGAGTCAGCTGCCAAGCATCCAAATTTTGATTATGTGACCACAGGTCGTTAAGTGTGAAAAATGGTCCCAAGTCCCTTTTTTCAATGCAGTCCTAACCTTGAATGGTCACTAAACAAATAACTGTATGTCGAGGACAACTGTATCGCTACAATCATGGCTCAAAGGCACCCATCCTATTGAATTATTTTATGTTCAGCAATGGAGGAGGCAATGGTAGAATTCAACCAGTGTAACAACCGGTTCGGTGAACTGGTCCGAACTGGCTGAATCCCACCCCTGGGAGGAGGCCTTTTGAGCAGCAGCCTCACACCCTGCGGCGTCCATTTTGTGAAAGCGCTCACGGTCGACTGTCAAGCCTGCATCCTGATCGCTGATCCAGCACCTCTTTAGTAGAGTTTTACTCTTTGCTTGTTGTTGGGATAGAAAACAGGGCGGGCACCTTTTTCAGGCAGACAGTTTGAATCCACTCGGCCTTCCGTACGTCAAAGATATCTAGGCTGTTTTCGCTGAATACTGACAAATAAGGGGCATTATAGCCTGAAATGGAAAAGAGCACAGGGTTAATGCCGGTGTGCCAAGTCTGCCCCTCATGCTTGCAGCCACCCACATCCTCCCGCAATCCTGCTGTCGTGCCCCTGTCGGAGGCTGATTCGGTGGAGGAAGCCAAGCAGCTGACAGGGAGCGGGGGTGTGGTTCCGTTGGCTGTGGAGGAAACTGGGGAAGGGCAAAGTCTCGCTGGGCAGAGCAGGGGAGAGGGAGAACAAGGGAGAGGGAGTTCAGAGAAAGACTCGGGCCCACCCCCTCTTCATCCTAGGGCACGTAGGGAGAAATGGGGAAGAGAGCAATGTGGGTTGTGTGGCTTATGGGGGAGGAAAAGGCCCTGATTCCCTTCATTAGCCACACCTGGGAATGAGAGTTTAAAAGAGATGCATGCTGACTGTGGCAGCTGTTGGGAGCAAACATGAATTTATCTGGTATCATCGTGGCTTATCTGTGTTCCTGGCGTCTTCCCAACTCTGTGAGTTTTGCCGTGCTTTCAAGTCTGAAATTCCTGCTCTGTCAAGCCAATTACTTTAAGTTACAATTTGTGTATACCTTGTTTTGGACTGAATTTTCTACAGTTAAAGGCTGTTCCTGGGAGAGTTTTTCTCCAGCCGAAGGTAACCTGGACACTGGGGGCAAAGTTGGAGATAATAAAGGGACTCCTACTGCTTATTTGACTGTGTTACCTTTGTACCACGCCCCTTTGGGTCATCACACCTGCCGATTATGGTGTGATTGGCTTAATGCTAGTTTACCAAATAAGCCACAATAGGCTGGGCTTTGTAGTCAAGGGGCCACGCCTGCATTTGCATCGGAGTAGGATTCATATTCTAATAGAGAAGATTCTTAAAGTTGAGCCTAAAGATAGAACCAGAAGCTTTTCTTTGGGGGCAAAAAGACTTGGGAAAAATATTTGGAAGTTTGATATATATACAGTATATATCTATATATATCAAAGTTCCAAATATTTTATATTTATGGGCTTGCAAGTTCTTTTGTTGTGATATCCTGGGTCCTGCGTTGTAATCTCCTGGGTCATTTGGACCCAGGATACCACAACAGGACCCAGGACGCAGGACCCAGGATACCACAACAAAACAACTCGCAAGCCCATCACACAACCCATTACCCAAGGAGTTAAAACATGAGAGGCTAATGGAAAAAAAATCACTACAAAACAAACGACCCAGGAGATTACAGCACACGATCCAGGAGATCTCCACAACAATACTCACAAGGCCATCACACAGCC